AATAGTGCGGGAAGAACTTGATCGGCGGGACGCTACTGCGCCGTCGATAGCACACGACCATGGTTCTTATACGCCATGCGGCCCCCCGCCGGCGTCCATCAACGCTGCGGGCTTCGTCGACTCAAGGACGCCGGTACAGTTGCGTCGTCATGCCTAGATGTCTGATCCGCGAAACGACTCCTTGCAAAGGTCACCCCCCGATAGGGCAGCGTGGCAAGATTATCCCGCGGACCATCTTCAGCAGCGACTGGGGCGTGAAGCACCTGTGTGCTTTTACTGCGGCGTTCGTGGACATATAGCCCGCTTCTGCTCAGAGTGGCATCGGTTACCGCTGCCGTAGTATCAACGACCTCCGGCATCCTCACAGACGCAAGTTCTCGGAGAAACTATCGCTCGCCACCCAACGGCTACTACCTAAACAGACTTCCAACTGACCTTCCGCAGCGATTCGCCGGATTCTGTGCGGTGTGTGACGCCACCAGCCTCCTCCCGCCAGCATCGGTCACCATCACCAGGTCGTCGGCGTCTGATTTCTCCTTCTCCGCCGGGAAACTAGACGCTACGGCTGATGTAGGTGAGGTTGCCGGACATTTTTACTGCGTACAGATATGCCTCCGCCAGTTTCCATGCTACAAAATAGGGTCAGTGTTCTTATAGATGGTGTCCCCGTGCCCGCGTTAGTCGACACAGGAGCAACTGTTTCCGTCATGAGCAGAAATTTTAAGACTCGTCTTTGCAAGAAAGTGATGTTCTCTTGGGGATGCCAGACAACGTTTCGTGCAATGAGTGGAGAACCGTTGCGCCCAGTAGGAGTTTGTACTGCAACTGTTAGTTTCGGCGCTAAATTGTTTAAGGCAGATTTTGCAGTTCTTCCTAATTCTACTCAAGACGTTATCCTGGAGATAGACTTTTTGAAAGAGTGTGGAGCCACTGTGGATTGCGCAGCTGGCGAAGTTTTACTGTCTGGTTTTTGTGAAGAGCCCATGCGATGCCAACAGACTATCGCAGTCGTTGATGCCATAGTTTTACCGGCCCAATCAATAGTTCAAGTGTCTGTGGATGTTTGTGGTATCACAGCAGATAACGTTGACGTTATAGTTCACCCAATCCAGCTGAACTGTGCGAAGAAGGATGTGGTTGCGCCGCACTGCGTGATTTCTACAAGTAATGGCAAAGCCCTTGGTATAAGTAGTCAACTCCTTTTTCGAGCCTATTGTACTGCCTGGTGGAATGAGGCTGGCTGTGTTTGAGTTCGACGTCAGGAGCAACGCGAACATTGCAGTCATTAGCGACTACAGGAAAAAAGAAAATGCGTCTGATGTGGCTTGTCCTAGTGATGACATACTAATGGATATGGTGAATAAGTCGCTATCACCTGATAAGAGGCAAGCGTTAGTTCGGATCCTCTGCAACCATGCACCCGGTTTTGATTTCGCACTCAATAGCCGTAGATTTTCTGCACCGCCTTCATGCACTCGTCATGCGATTGATACTGGTTCCGTCCATCCCATTCGTCAGAGACCATACAGAGTATCTCCATCGGAGCGTAAACTTATTGCTGAGCAGGTGGAAGAAATGCTGTCTAAGAAAGTTATATAAGAGTCGTCTAGCACCTGGGCAGCACCATTTATACTTGTAAAAAAGAAGGATGGGTCTTGGAGATTCTGTGTAGATTACCGGCAGCTCAACTCAGTTACAAAAAAAAGACGTATATCCGCTGCCCCGCATCGACGACGTTATCGATTGTTTGCACTCTGCTTTGTACTTTTCTTCCCTAGACTTAAGATCTGGATATTGGCAAATCATTATGCGCTCTGCCGATAAAGAAAAAACGGCTTTTATAACTCCAGATGGTTTATTTCAATTTAACGTCATGCCATTTGGTCTATGTGATGCTCCAGCCACGTTTGAACGCTTTATGGACACAGTTCTTCGTGGTTTAAAATGGGAAGTAGGTCTTTGCTATCTTGATGACGTTGTAATCTTTAGCCGCACGTTGGAAGAACACAATTGTCTACTTGATGTCGTTCTCAAGTGCCTTGAGAAAGCAGCACTTACCTTGAATTCCAAAAAGTGCCATTTTGGTGATCGTGAAACTAGTTCTTGGCCATCTCGTAGACAAACACGGCGCTCGGCCTCATCCCCGCAAAATCAACGCGGTCAGCACTTTTCCTCAACCATGCTCACTACGAGAACTGAGAAGCGTCCTGGGCTTGTGTTCGTATTTCCGGCGCTTTGTTCCTAGCTTCGCCGATGTCTGAGCCTCTTACTCATCTGCTCAACAAAGACGTACCCTTCAAGTGGACGAAAGAGTACAAGTCATCATTTTCGCAGCTGATGCTTCTACTCACTTCTGGGCCTATTCTTCGTCATTACGACGCATCAGCCCCAACTGAAGTTCGCAGAGACGCAAGCGGAATTAGTATCACCGCAGTATTAGTTCAGCGTCATGGTGCCGCCGAACATGTCATTGCCTACGCGAGCCGTTCTTTGAGTAAAGCTGAGCGCAATTACACTGTTACAGAGCAAGAATGTCTGGCAGCTGTCTTTGCCGTGCATAAGTTTTGCCCGTACATTTACGGCCACCGATTCTCCATCGTTACTGACCACCACTCACTTTGTTGGCTCACTGGTCTACGGGATCCAACCGGTCGTCTTGCACGACGTGCACCCCGTTTGCAAGAATATGACTGATGTTTGCTTCAAGAGGGGCCGCCGTCATGTGGATGCTGACTGCCTATCGTGACTTTCCCTTCCCACGACCGAATGCAACGCCGACAATTTAGACGACTGTCTGGCCGTTATTGACTCACGTTTTCTAGATTTGAAAGCGTTCCGTACAGAACAACGTCAGGACCGCAGTATGGCTCCTTTTTTCTCATCTGCCGTCGATAAGCCGCATCAGAGCCCATTCGCCATGCAGGATGGCATTCTTTACAAGCAAAATTTCGCTGCATAGGGGGCCCGCCTACTGTTGTTTGTCCCCAAATTTGCGACCCAACGTGCTGCAAGCTTGCACGACGATCCAACACCTGGGCATATGGGGTTCGCCAAGACCTATCACCGCACACTGAAACGTTTCTAGTGGCCCCGCAAGCGTCAGGCTACAGCTAAATACGTGACCAGCTGCGAGCATTGTCAACGGTACAAGAATCCAACAAGTGCGCCGCCAGAATTTCTCCATCCCATACCGCCTCCATGTTTCCCCTTTAAGGTCGTCGGTATTGACTTGATGGGCCCTTTTCCACGACCTATCACTGGGAACCGCTGTATTATAGTCTGCGTAGACCACCTTACTTGGTATGCTGAAACCGCAGTGATCTCAGCCGCAACAGCCGATCACGTTTGTGACTTCCTGCTACGCTACATCATTCTCCGGCATGGGTCCCCTCGTGCCATCATCAGCGACCGTGGCCGGCAGTTTGTAGCCGACGTCGTGGAAGAGTTGATTCGCTGGTCTGCTTCCCAGTTTCGGCACGCCACTTCATACTATTCACAGACAAACGGTTTGACTGAGCGTGTCAACAGGACGCTCATTGACATGCTCGCTATGTACGTTGATTCGAAGCATAAAAACTGGGACAAAGTTTTACCGTTTATGACCTACGCCTACAACACTGCGTTACAAGAGACCACCGGCTTTAACCCGTTTTACCTTCTCTACATCCGTGAGCCACGTCCTACCCCCGACACAATTCTCCCGTTTTCAGGGCAAGAAAACTCATTCCTTGCAGAGACACTGTCACGCAGAGGAGGCACGGCGCATCGCGCGTTCCGGACTTTCGCAGCCCAAGACCGTTCAAAGGCTCGCTACGATAAGCGAAATCGAAATGTGTCGTACAGCGAAGGTGCTATGGTGTGGCTGTGGACTCCGAATCGCAAGAGCGGTTTGTATCGAGAGTTTCTGGCCCGCTATACAGGTCCTTTCGTCGTTTTGTCGCGCCTTAGCGACGTTACGTACGTGATAAAACGCCTCACATGTTCTGGCCAACGCTCCAGGAAAACTGACGTCGTACGTGTTGCCCGGTTGAAGCCATACAACGCGCGACAATAACTCGCCCAGTGGGCATCGCCGCAGAAACGATACGGGACTTTCGTTGAAGTAAGTGAGGAAGAAGTGAATGTGTTCTGTGCCAGGCCTGACGGCTGCAACCATCCATCTGTCATCCCACCGGTACAATAAACATCTGCCACCCGTAGCAATATATATATATATATATATATATATATATATATATATATATATATATATATATATATATATATATATATATATATATATATATATAATTGAATAAAGATAGCAGTAAAACAACATAAAGTCCCGTCGCTCGTCTAGGCTTAGCGCACGAGCGAAAGTGTCTTAATTTTCAAACTTTTTGTGATTCTTGTGGCATGTAGGTAAATATGTTACTATAATAAACGATCATTATGTGAAAATCTATATTATGTGGAATGCAGTGCCCTTTGAGAACAACGAATCTACGTTTATTAGAGGACAGCTCGCCAACGCGCCTCAACCTCTAGTCGGAGCTCGTACGCGTAAACTGAGGGGCTAATTAGATCATTTTTGCGCTCTTTCATGCACTTAAATTGAAGGAGCTCATAGGTAATGAGCCGGAAGCGTGCTTCTGTTAACGGTGATGTGCTGCTTATTAAAATTGAAAACACACAATAACACGTTGTGTGATATTATATAGTTCTTTCCATGGGTTGAAACGCGACAACCTTGAAGTCCAGCAGAGACATGCAAGTAAATGACTAACAAGAAGTCGTAGTGAGTTTTCGCCATGTGTAGTAATTGTGGCAACGTGCTTTTGTACGAAGAAAAAACAAATTGGTAAACCTTTATGCGTAATGACACCGCATGCGTGCTCTTACTTTCGCCACACTCAATTGAAAGCCACAAAAATGTGCTGTACAATTAAGGAGAAATTATTCGTGAGGATCAAAGAGAGTTTGTTATGCTTACATTGCTGGATACATTCACTCAAGTTCAATTCAATTCAATTCAATTTATTCCAGAAGAAAACTTCTGTCAAAGCATTTCGGTGCTCCCTATTTTATCACTTGCATTGCTCACTAGCAGCTTACAACTTAACTATAGAGGACAACAGGTGTTATGTAGACTCGTGGGATAATTTAAAAGCTTCCTTGCGAATGTCATCCCACAGTTTCATAAATGAGGCCCTGTCCCCTTCTTGCAGTACTTTCTTCTCAAAACGGGCGAGTAGTTCGGGCGTAAAATATGCTTTCCATCCTCCCACCTTGGCTTCTTTGACCAGAGCGTACTTTGATTTGTCTCCAGCGTAGCCTTCCTTGCTCGTAATCTTCCGGTTGTCAAAAAGCTTGTTCCATTCCTGAGTCTCATTTCCGCTGAGATTAAGCACGATAACATTTCTCATACGCTCTGCTTTTGACAACTCGAGGATGTTCTGGAGCATTTGCGAGTCTTTCAGAAGAGCTGTATGATAGCTCTCACCCAGAAAGCTAGCCAGTCTCAAGACTGTGCCTCTAGTGTCCTTCTTGAGCTCCTCGTAGGTCACGAAGAACACGTTCTGTTCATCCTTGAGGGCGTAAGCTGACGCCACATGGTCGAAGTAGCTCCCGTACCCCAAATCGCCCTCGACGAAAGGTTCGAAAAACTCTTCGAAGGTTCCGTCTTCGAACTTCGCGATGCTGACATCTTTGGTCATGCGGAACTGCGACACACAAACATCCCATGGGTTTCGGGCGACGTAGACGTACTTGGCCTCCTTGTTCAATGTATCTCGACTCAATGGCAGGTGCGTCGTGAACAGTCTGACTGGCATCGACGACACCCAACCTTCGGTGTCTACGTACTCGATCGCCCTGTGGTTGCGGGTGAAATCGTCGTATGAGTTAATGGGTTGTCCTCCGTTCAGGATAAGCTGCGTGAGGTACTGAACCCAGTGGGTGCCGCTTTTGGGATAGCTGCTCTGGACAACGTCCCCCTTGGCAGCGCGAAAAGAGAGACCTTTTCGAAAGATTTCTGGTATGACGAACGGACACCTGGGCACACCATCGATGACTTGCCGGTAGGGCCTCCGACCTGACATGGTCGTTATCTTCCAAGCCTATGGGGTATGTATCCTGGAAAACAAGCAGGTTGTTTCAATATTGACAACCGACAATAATGTCACTTCTACACAGTAAAATAGTTCACGCATAAGCAATATCAAAGCTAAGTTTGGTTGTGTCTACCTTCCAACACCCGGCTACTATCGAGGCCCATAAAACACTGCACAGGATCTTCCACTTCTGTGGCAAACACCACATTAGAATTAGCGACCTCATAGAAGCTCGTGTGTAGTAGATAATACGCAACGTCATCGTTCTGCTTATCGACACCATGATTAGGCCTCATATAACAAATATTTCAAGCGTTTAGCAGAACAAACGTTCTGGTTTTACCGGATTGAATACTAATGAGCTGTGCCCTTGAAATGAGGTCAACCCTTTAATGTATGTTGAATGAACTTTCTTGAGGTCGCCCCGCTGGTTAGAATTACGTTCTCAAGATTTTATCAGCAGCTCCGCTGCGGTGGTCTAGTGGCTAAGGTACTCGGCTGCTGACCTGCAGGTTGCAGGATCGAATCCCGGCTGCGGCGGCTGCATTTTCGATGAAGGCAGAAATGTTGTATGCCCGAGTGCTGAGATTTGGGTGCACGTTAAAGAACCCTAGGTGGTCAAAATTTCCGAAGCCCTCCACTACAGCGTCTCTAATAATCGTATGGGGGTTTTAGCACGTTAAACCCTACATATCAATCAATCAACGCACGTTAAACAACTCAGCAAGAGAATGCTGACTGACAGCACTTAAGGCTTTGGGCAGACTCAAATATGCGTTGGTTGTTTGGTGGCCTCACCACAACGTGATATAACTATGTTAGAATCTGTTAAAAAAATCAACAGTGCTCATACTTTGTCGCTATCACTATACTCGGCGACAGCTTTTCTTGACAGCACTGTGGAAGCTATAGAGCCGAAGCGCCTGCATGCGCGCGCGCCAGGAAATAGTACCTATTTTATTTTCTGATTCTAATAGCTACTTGGCCCGAATAAATAAAACTTTCTTCATTATAAGGATATAACAAGTATGGGGCGCTGTTCATGGAAAAAAAAGTTATCGTGCGCCCTAGTTTTTTCTTATTTTTTATTTCTTGGACGGCACCACGTTTTCCGCACGCCGGCTGCGTCTGTTGCTTGCTCTTGCAGTAAACATGGCGTCCAGCCTTATCACTGGCGGCCGCGCAAGCTCTGAAATAAGCTTCACTGTTCGCGTCTTGCGCGCAATCTTAACGACGATCTACAACAATTGTGAGGCTTCTCGAACACTGAGGCGCAGTCTGTGCCGATCATTGCTGACAGCCTTTGAGGGCGTAAACCGAATACAGCAAAACTGAAACAAGACAGGCCCGTGGCCGGATCGTGCCGCAACCGGCCTTCCATTTCGCCTGCACCAGGGCTCAATACCGTAAACGTTAACATTCGATGACGTGTGGTGCGTACCCGTATATACTGGGCTGAACACGGAACCTAAATTTCACTGTTATAAATGCTGAATAATGCTGGGAAAACGTTCTGAACAACGGAAAATTTTATATGTACCAGTATATAAACAGCACAGTAGCTAGCTGCATGTATGCACTCTCATCAAAGTTTAACTCTGACGTTCCCATTTTGCATGCATACATTTTGCTAAACACACTAGCGCAGCGAGCAAGCGAAGACCGAAACTGGAACCGAAATCGGCTGCAAGCTGCCGGACTACTTGCGTAGTAACACAAATGTGCGGAGGACCCGCCTCTGTAGCCTTCGCTTCACTGTCAAGAAAAGCTGTCGCCGAGTATAGCGTTCCTCGCCTACTTCGCACGCGTGTTCTATCGCTGCAGCCGCTCTCCAACACACACACACACACACACACACACACACACACACACACACACACACACACACACACACACACACACACACACACACACACACCACACACACACACACACACACACACACACACACACCACACACACACACACACACACACACACACACACACACACACACACACACACACACACACACACACACACACACACACACACACACACACACACACACACACACACACACACACACACACACACACACACACACACACACACACACAACACACACACACACACACACACACACACACACACACACACACACACACACACACACACACACACACACACACATATATATATATATACATATATATATATATATTCACCCTTGCAATCGTGTCATCCTCCCGCATAAAGAAGAGTTCACACTGGTACGAGTGTTCTAGCACCCATGTCTTTTGTTGCACCTTCTTCACACCATACACGGCGATTTGATCCTCTAAATACTGTGCCCGTGGGATCAATGGAGAGTTGTTTTCATTTTCTTATGTTTGTTTGTCGCTTTTCTACAAGAACGTGCACTTTTGGAAAGACCTTAATGGGCATCTGCACACACTCGGTGCAGAGAAATGAAAAAAAAAGAATTGCGTAAACGTGTAATTTGTTAAATTGTATCTTTTACGGACCTTAACATTTGTATTTACAGATGCTATTTCTCAAAAACAGGGACAGAAGTCTACGTAAATATATAACATTAAAACATGCTGCTACCACGATAACTTCTCCGCCTTTCCAGCAAACATTTTTTTTTAAACTCCGGTTTCTATGCCCACCAACTCCTCAATCTTGATAATCCCCCCCTCCCCTCCACGCCGCGGCACCGCCGATCCGATGGACACCGCTCCGGTGACGCGCCGCTGCCGAAGGTAGAAACACCGGCGCGCCGCCGCCGGCAATCGCGGTACCGGAGTACAAGTCTACTTGCGAGGGGGCAGAACAAATGTGAAATAACCTTAGCGACACGCACACGAACGTGGTATTCCGGCCGCTCTAGCTTTCTTGCTTGTCGTTTTTTTTTCTCATCTCAAATGTGATTGTGCGATTATTGCTACTGCGTAGATTAATTCATGACCTCACTTACATTCAATTTTTTTTCATTTATTTATTTGAAACCTTACAGGATTCTTGGAAATTGTGTAAGGGGGCTCTGAAATAACATCAATGCGGGAAAAAATGTAAAGGAATCAAACACCACTAGGAAACAACACAAAAATAAACACTTCATAAATAGGACAGACCTAATGCATAATACATAATACATACACCACAAAATAGTGGTACAATACACATATATTACATATACATACACATGTATGACTGCCAGTTGGGCGTGTTGGTTAAGGTTCATGATGAAACAAGCGCAAAAACACACACACTCAGAGAGGACACAGACAAGCGCTAACTAGCAACCTAAAATTTTATTTTCAGTTGCATTTTATTTTATTTATGACAGGGAAAGTCGGGAATGATGTACATGCGTGTGATGTATTTATTAGTGTTCATTTTGAAATAAAATTTTCAGTTGCTAGTAAGCGCTTGTCTGTGTCCTCTCTGAGCGTGTGTATTTTTGCGCTTGTTTCATCATACACATGTATACAGAAATTGTGCTCTTTATTAATGGACATGCGATGAACGACTTCAGTGCAAATGAGCAATTAGTAGGAGGTGGAATGTGTCAGGGCTGGACAATGAAACTATGTTGTCTGGCAGGTTATTCTATATTATAATGGCTCGCGGGAGTGTTGCGGAGTTGAATGTTAATGTGCGACCATATATGCGAATAAAGCTCAAGTTAATATATAACCTTCTGGATGTTCGGGATGAGACATCGAGATGAAGTGAATGTGACCTTTTAGAGAGGACATACTTGTGGCGTAACGTTAGTTGGGCTGTGTCACAGCGCATTGGTAAGGACTGTAGGCAGAGATTCGTTTTATTTCGTGTCACTGTGGTAACTATAGTTTCGTGATATGAACCGTGCTGCACTATTTTAGACGGATTCTAGTGCGTTAAGCATGTTATTGTGATATGAAGACCAGTTGGAGGATTCGAACTCAAGTTGTGGGCGAACAAATGTGAGGTAAGCAAGCTTACGAATATTAGCGGGTGGGTTTGTTAGGTTGCGCCGTATGTAACCCAATGACTTTGAAGCATTACAGCATACCGATGAAATATGAAAGGACCATGACAGATCTGAAGAAATGTGAACACCGATGTACTTGTAATGAGACACGTGTGATAGTAAGTCGTCTTCAATGCGGTTTGTATTATTAGAATTGTTGTGTTTACGACTGAATGTGACTACTTACCATTTTGATGTGTTAAGGATCATTAGCCATGTGTTGCACCACTCGTTAATAAGATTGAGATCACACTAGAGTGCCAAGTTGCTGTAGCTGATGTAACGGGGCGGTATTGAATACAATCACCCGCGAAGATTCACATGCCTGAAGAAATGTTATTGGGTAAATCATTTTTATGAAAATAAAAATAATTATGGACCCAGTACACTGGCCTGCTTTACGCCTGGGGTAACTGGGGAATGATTAGCGGAAAGATTGTTAACAAGTATGTGTTGTTTGCGGTTGTAAATAAACTTACGTCTCTATGATAGCGTAAATGAGTCCAAATGAAGTGATGACAGTGTATATATGAATTGGCAACGAACTACACGGTGAAAGAATTAGGCGGAGTTCAGAAATACGCAGTCTGTGTGTAGGTTATTATTCGGGGTGTTTTACTCCTGCGACACACAATAGTTGTGTTTCGCAGGAGTGATTCTTTCTGAACCGAAGCCTAATATGGTAAAAAAGAAAAACTTGTTATGTCCTGAATGATTTAAAACTATGAGTTGCAATTATGTGCTGCAGCATTTAGTAGCATATACACGTGAGAGATATACACTATTCCTGATTTCTGGTGCACGTAAAGCCAAGTAACCTGGTTGTGACGCACCATAGTTATGAACGGCGCGAATATCCTGGAACACAAAATAAAGCAAAACATGAGGACGGGTGCCAGACTGGCAACTAATTTTTATTTACGTCGGCTCGCTCCTTCTGTATTATTCACATTCTTTCATTGCATTGCATTGTATTGCTGTATTGAATAAATCTACGCCTTTTTATATAAAGGAACGTGGTCCCTCCCCCCCCCCCCCCCCCCCCCCAAGAAAAAAACAGGTGATACAACACGCAAGGTTTTTAATGAATTCTTAATCAAAGAAGATGTTTCCTTTTGTTGCAAATCGTTATTTGAAACACTGATACATAATTACAGGTTGTTTCATACTTAGAGGAAATCTCGGAGCGCCTGCATGGTATCGCGATGCGACTAGCGCTGCGATTGCGCGCCGGCAGCAGCTCACGCGTGCGCAGACGTTTCCAGGGTGTACAGTTGAACCGCGTCGTCTGCTACGGAATGGCGTGTGCCGCATTGTCGGCCAGCGCACAGATATCACTTGTTAGTGTGAGAACTAAGCCCGGATTCTCTGCACTAATCATTTTCGGAAGAGTCTGCGCGATGGGATACGAAGAAACGAGGAACGACAAACGCTTGCGCGCTTTCTTTCGTCGTGTCCCGTCTTGCTGCGCTGTTTTTTCAGATGCTCTCGTACCCACTTTCAACGCTTGTCTGCACTAAGCGTTGTGCAACGCCCACCTCTCGGCCTTTATTCGTGATAATGGGGAGCATTTCACAGTCGGCATCGTTTGCTCTATCGATGCACTTAGGTACTGTGTGCGTTCACGAAAGTTCCATCATTTTGTGCACGCCGCAGTAAGTTTGGATTAGTCAGACATGCTAACGAGCATGCATTGTTCGGGGTGTCTATTTGAGTTTAAACTAAACAAAGCATTCAGTGGTGACTGGTGAGCAGCTGAATGGGTTTAACAGAACAAAACACATGGGAATAAATTCAAGAATGATTTAGAATGGAATACCACCTGAACGTGCTCGTTCTCGACCAAAATGCACTCGTGACGCATCCAGGTTGATGTCTCCAGCGATAGCGATGATGACGCTCATTCTAGACGGCAATAAATGTATGGTGTCAGTGATGTGTTCCGCCACAGCATGCCCCATTCGTTGACGATGCATGGGAGCGTGGCATCACAAGATCCAGATTGAGTTGAATAAAAGAAAGGGTCATCTGCCGTACGTTTTCTCCCCCACTTCTTTCTTGGCTGACAAGAGCAGTATTTCATTGTTTGCCTGGTTTACTATGGCCCATGTACGAGAAAAAGAGCGACATAAGATTACTAAACTCTGTCGTAAAAACTATACTATGCATTTCGGAGCCAGCTAGCGAGCCTTAGGGGTAATGAAATGTCGTCGTTAAGAGACACGTTCAGGCTCTGTCTTCACCTAAAACATTCCGAAATTAGTTGACATTTGTTTTATAGTGTTAAGTCAGCTCAGAAGTGCAATTCCTACCGTTGAGTGCGTTTTGTTAATTCAAGGTCAAATTAAGACGACACACATTGCGTGCTAATTATCGTGTCTTTCTCTTCCCAGTGTACTGTGGTGCACGGAGAGTGAAAAAATATTCACTAACGCACGCATCACCATGGCGTTTCGAGAGAGCAAACAAGGCATGCTGTGAAATTCTGCTTGTAGCAACCCACTACCACAAGTAAAGGCTGAGAGGTTGGCGTCGCACAACGTTTAGTGCAGATTATCAGACCAGTTTCTGCCCTAACAATGGACAGCAATATGGCAAGCAAGAGCAGCGGTGTAGCAGACGACGCAGTTAAAAACTGCCCTTCTGAATCATCTGAGCACGCGCGAGCGGCGGATGGCGCGTGGTTGCGGCGCTGGCCGCATCACGATGCCAGGCGCTGTGAGTTTTCCTCTAACTGTGAAACAGCCTGTACATACCCTTTCACACCTGGTGCGCATTGCAGGGACTGTGGGCGTGTCCCTCTCATTTTGAAAAATAACCAGCATCATCGCCAGGAGTAATAATCACTCAATTTGGTAGATGATGTATCAGCGTGTGCAGCCACCATATAATCTCGTTTTCTTGGAGGACGGGCGGTTTTGGAACGTTAAACCTCACATATCAATCAATCAATTCTTGGAGGCTTCGTGAGAACGTAATGTGGTAAGTGCTGCGTTTCGTACGCTGAGTCTTGTCACGGGCGTACGCGTACATCGCTAGAATCGATACGCTACGTACTTCACATGCGCAGTTCTTCCCCACGCCAGTGTTGCGTTCGTAGCCTCGTTACGTACGCTTAACTAAAAGTGTCTATTAGTTGCCCACGTGTGAAATTAAGCGGGGGTCCAGTTCCTTTCATAACACGTGGGTGTTTCCTTTGTGTGAGAAACAATATCAATGAGAATTCTCCTTAATATAGGGCAAGTTTGAAAGTCGCCGCGCAGCCTTCGAGACCGGCAACAGGTGCCTCTTGTCTTCTCCGCGAGATGCCGGCAGGTTCACGGTATACGCGACGCAGGAAAAGCGAGGGGGTGAGTCGCCACTACGACGCGACGCTTCGAACTTGGGAACTCGCGCGGCAATGCTCGACTCCATGTATACAAGCTTGCGAAGGCGGACAGCCCATGGCAGGTTTTGAAAAGGCCGTTTTGTTTCGACGACAAAGTAAAACCTTTTCCGAGACGTTCACTGGAGCGGCCACAGATCTTGCGGGCTAGGTTTCTCAAGAGCCGTAAATCTAATTTTTCAGCGCACAAGTCTAGACTACACGCTCGCGAAACTATCTATTCTAATGAAACCTTAGAGTTTTTCTCACTTTGTCGTATGAGCCATATAAGATCAATAATTGAAATGAGCGCTTCGTACGAACTTGAGAAATTGTGGGTACTCACGCAGCAGGATGCCGTAGATTGAGGCGACAAAAACCAGTGTGGCTGTACTTGTGATTCTAGATAACGTACCAGAGGAAAACAAGAAGGGCTTTGTGTCTTTGTGATAGCAGAGGCCTGCAATGACCCTGCTGATACGACAGCTGTTTATCTAAAAAAAAAAGCGCGGAGGGTGGCTCGTTACTCTCTTTTGAACGAGGGGCGGGAGGCGAACGAGGGTCGGCAAGCGCTATGTACCACTGTAGCAGGGGCGTCGCCAGAAAATGTTTTTCAGTGGAAGGAGGACACACACTCTTGAATTGGCCATTTTTGCTCTCTATGCCATGCCGGAAAACAATTCAGGGGAAGGGGCACATGTCCGATGTGCTACATTCTGGCTTTGCCTCAAGGCGCATGTTCTGCACCCCTGCAGTGCAGAACATGCGCCTTGAGGCACTGTATTCATGTTTCACAATACCACTAAACAAGGAACTCTGCTTTCAAAGTCAACGCTTACCTCACTCGATGTACAGATGCCCCAGAAAGTAAAAACCGAGCACGCTAGCTATGGTCGATCAAAATGGGCCAGCAGTAGAAACTGCCTACAGCACCTCATGGGATTTTTGTGTCGGAGGAGTGGCCAATAGGGTTTTGTGTTGCACCCGTCCTCTGTTAACGCTCATAGAAAGAGTACCTTTTCAGGGTTTTGTTTATCTTTCAATGGAATGGAATGAAAAAAAACTTTATTTCAGTCCTGCAGGACGCGCTTAGCGCGTCGCGGGCGTCTCCCACGTAGGGACCGACAGGGAGTACCTGGCGGCCGCTTCGTTGGCCTGCTGGACGGCCCATTGCTGGTCGGAGAGAAGGAAGCTCCTGAGGGACCTCTCCCACTTGTTTGAGGTAGAGTCGGGAGGAGTGGATCTACACTCCCAAAGCATGTGTGCGAGTGCCGCCATGTGTCCACATGATGGGCATGTGTCGCTGGGGTATGCATCAGGATAAAAAATGGCAGCATATCCTCGGAGTGAATGATGGGGAGTGGGGCGAAGCATTCGTCCGTCCATTCGTTCTTGCTTCCGTCCGTTCCTGCGATTGTCTGTTTAACCGTCCATGCGTCCATCCACCCGTCCGTGCGTGCGTCTGTTCGTGCGTCCGTCCCTGCGTTCGTCCATGCATCCGCGCCTGCGTCCGTTCATGCGTCCATCCATGCATCTGTCTGTGTGCCCGTTCGTCCATCTATTCAGCACTCCAAGTACCACCATCTGGCATCTTTTCATCATATATTCGGATGAATAGATGGATGTACATGGCTGTACCCTTTAGATCGGGCGGTGGCTAGCGCCACCAAGCCGTAATACTTAATGAACCAAAAACTAGACTTAATTTTTTCTTTAAAAAGCGAGTTTGAGGATTCGTACTTTGCAGTGAAGAGTTTAAATTTCACTCGTGCCTTGACTTTAGCCACCAATCAGATAACCTCCTTCTAGTTAAGTCTACCCGCTTAAAGTCTATTTTGCCTCCCCGGTCCCTAAACCCCAGTGCTTTGAAAAACTCTGCGCCATCATCCTGAACTATAGGGTGAAGCCCTTTACAGAACATTATCAAGTGTTCGGCAGTTTCTTCTTCCTCTCCACATGCACTGCATACTGTGTCTACCCCTTCGTATTTGGCCCGATATGTCTTGGTTCGCAGTACTCCCGTCATGGCCTCAAACAGTAGAGAACTACCCCGAGTATTATCATAGATGCTTTCCTTGGCAGTTTCCTGCTTAAAAGTTCGATATATCTCTTGTGTGGACTTCTTAATCATGCCCATTCTCCACATGTCAGTCTCCGTTTCCTTCACTTTCTTCTTAACCGATAGTTCTTTTTGGTTTGGCCACCTGCTGTTTTCTAAGTATTTACCAGTCAATTTCCTGGTTCGCTTCCTCCATTTTGTATCGACATTCTTCATGTACAAGTAGCTGAAAACCTTCCTAGCCACCGCTCCTCCCCCATTTCTCTCAATCGCTTCTCAAATTTTATCTTGCTGCTAGCTTCCCTGCCCTCAAATGATGTCCATCCCATATCACCTTGTACTCCCTGATTTGGTGTATTCCCGTGAGCTCCTAAAGCAAGCCTACCTATTCCACGTTGTTTAATTTCTAATCTTGCTTGAACTTCTGATCTCATGCACAAGACCGCATTGCCGAACGTCAGCCCAGAACCATGACCCCTTTCCATATTCCTCTCACAACATCATACCTATTGTAATTCCACAGTGCCCTATTTTTAATCACTGCTGCATTCCTGTTACGTTTTGTCGTCACGTATATTTCGTGTTCCCTCAGGTACTCGGTCCCTTGCGTATCCATACGCCCAGATATTTGGATTTATCTGTTATCTCTAGCGTGACTTCTTGTATTCTAAGCTCACTACCTTCGTTGTCATTGAAAATCATGACTGCTGATTTTTTCTTACTGAATCTAAAATCTAACCTATCTCCCTCATTACCGCAGATGTCCAGAAATCTCTGCAAATCTTTCTTGTTGTTGGCAATTAGCACTATATCTTCTGCGTACATTAATGCTGGTAGTGCCTGATCAATAAGTTTTCCTTGTTTGACTAAAGAGAGGTTGAAGCCAAGTCCACTTCCCTCTAATTTCACCTCTAATCCTTGTAGGTACATCATGAATAATAAGGGTGACAGGGGACACCCCTGCCTAAGCCCCCGTTTTACCTCTGCAGGTTTGGATACCTGTTTTTCCCGCTTTATAACTACCTTGTTGCCTTTATAGATATCCTTTAAAAGATTAGTGACTACATGTTCGACGCCTAGTGTGTCCAGTATTCCCCACAATTCCTCTTGAACCACGCTATCGTGCGCTCCCTTGATAGCCAAAAATGCTAGCCACAGGGGCCTGTGTTCCTTTTCTGCTATTTCGATGCAGTGCGTCAGTGAGAACAGATTGTCTTCCAACCTCCTGTGTTTCCGAAACCCATTCTGCAGTTCCCCCAGCACCCCCTCATCCTATATCCATGCCTGCAGTCTTTTCTTTATAATCTGCATCGCCAGCCTGTAGACCACTGATGTAGCTGTTATAGGACGGTAGTTGTTTATGTCAGCTTTGTCCCCCTTTCCTTTATAGATCATGCTCATCCTGCTAAGTTTCCATCCATCGGGAACTTCACCATTGATTATTATTTTGCTCACTGCCTCTCTCAAAGCCTGCTTAGACTTCGGACCTAATGTCTTTATCAGCATAGTTGGAATGCCATCTGGGCGTGTTGATGTACTACTAGGAACCCTTTCCTCAGCCCTTTCCCACTCTCGTTGTGAAAATGGAGCCATTGCACCACTTGATTCGTCCTTGTCTATTGTGGTGCATAAAGTACTTCTTTGTTGAAATTTTTCCGTCACCCTTGTTCTTATATATTCAATAGCTTCGCCCCCTTCTAGCCTAGCACCTTGGGCTGTAGTTATAAAACTCTGCTCTAGACTCGTCTCATTTCTTAGAGAGTTTAGATGGTTCCAAAATTTCGCAGCTGCCCTTCTATCTTTTTTATGTACTTCTGCCAGCCACTGAGCTCCCTTTCTTCTAATCTTTTCATTGATCAGAAGGGATGCATCCCTTCTATAGCTTAGAAAGGTTTTCCATTTTCTTTCAACATCATCTGTCGGTTCACCCCGCTGCTTAGCATGTCTGTGTTCCCTAGAGGCTTCCTGACTATTTCCTACTATTCCTTACTATTCTCCCTACTAGGAGGCTTCCCTACTATTCTCCATATAGATGCACCGCCATCCAGCGGACATTTCAAGGACTAAACGGGAGGTGGCACATGCACACTTTCTTACGGCTTGCGCTTCGGGTTTACTTCCCACCTTTATCCACCTCGAGTTCATGGTATATACTAGTTCACTGTATTCATGGCTATGCGGCCCAACGCTCGCTAAACCTTTCTAAAACCAAGGAGGTTACACCCAGCGAGTATAACGTAGCAACCCTTTCTTGTCAGATCCTGCTCAATGTACATGCCAATAGCTGCTAATGGGGATCGCAGCGTGCGCGTTACCTAAAGGCCGAATGCTCCTGTCTCTCATTCCCCCTTAGCAGCCATTAACATGTGCATTGAGCACTATCTTTTATTGTTCAACAACGCACAGAAGAAATCTGTCACCGAAACCACCTTGCAGGTCTAAATCCTAAGGACCGCTATTTCTGGTATGTGCCACTGGTGGTTACGTACTACGAGGGACGTACAAGCCACGCCATAAGGAGCTTCGCCCCTAATAAACGTGAAGCGTGGCAAGGTTTTGGTACGTGTGTGTCGTAATAGGCGTAGGGTTAATGTCTGCGGTCGGTTAAGTTTCGGATGGGGGGGGGGGGAAATGTGGCGTTCAATGTAAAAGTGCTTTGTTATGTCATTGTACGTAATGGGTGCATCCCGATTGCTCTCTAACTCAGCAAGATGGGGTTGCCCTGTGGCGGTGCGGTTGGTGAGTGCGCGCGCTGCATCATGGGCAATCTCGTTGAGGTTGGATAGGGCACCCGGCACCTCGTCTATCCAAATCATAATGTGCTGCCACAATGCTTGTTCACCAACGGCATGATAATATACTTAGGCTCTCCGAGTGTTCTATTCTAATCTTTGGTGATTATTTGGGGCGTTGAATTTCGTGCAGTGCAAACATGATAGCACATATGCAATGTGTTCTTTTATTTTACTGGCATTATGTGTATGAGAATTATCATGATGCGTCTTTTAATTTAGCATATGTTGAGTTTTTGGTATTCATCTGTCACGTATATTGTATCCACAGTTTTTTTCTCTACGTGAAGCTGCTGGTATACTTAAGCCAAATAGTTGACTTCCAGTATTAAAAAAAGCTCACTGGGTCCCCTGTACATTCGCTTAGGACAACTCGAAGGCGAAAGCCATCTTTTCCTTTGCAGTCGATGTATAAGAGAACAGGGAACACGAGCACTGTCTTCACGGGTCGCTGTAAAGTGCCGTCTCTATTTTCTGCTCTTATCGTCACGCAATTTCCAATTAAGGTTAATACAATAAATAATAAATAAGGTTAATACATTAGATAACAGTACACAAAGCGGCGTTTACAGAGCATACCGAAGGGAAAATACAAGTGAGTTGTTTCACATCACCACTCACTTGAAGACGCACAAGGGTGCTGGAGTGAATAAATAAACGCCATATTAATCATTATATGAACACGCACATCACATCAACAGAAAATGACATTCCTAGATCACGCTGAAAGTTTGGACAGTTCCCGGGCTTCTTCTCGAATATCCGACCACAGCTGCATGAAAGACGCCTTGTCACCCAGCTCTCCAATCTTTTTTTCAAAACGGGCCAGCTGGTCCGGCGTGAAGTGCTCCTTCCAGCCTCCCACCTTGGCTTTCCTGACGAGTCCGTACTTGGTGTTGTCTCCGCCGTAGCCGTGCTTGCAAGACACCTCCTTCCGGCCGAACAATTCGCGCCAGCCAGGATTCTCGTTTCCCTTCAAGTCAAACACGATCACTTTCCGCATGTGCTCGGGCTGAGAACGCTCGATGATCTTCTGCAGCAGTCCTTCTTGTTCTTCTAACGCCCGGCCGTAGCTCTCTCCCACTAAGTGAGCGAGCCTCAGAATGGTTCCCGGCGTGTCCCGCTTGAGTTCTTCGTGAGAAAGAACACGTTCAGCTCGTTCCTTAGGGCGTAACCCGAGGCGACGTGATCAAAGTAACTGCCGTAACCAAGCTGTCCTTGTAAGAAAAGGTCGACAATGTCTTCGAACGTGCCGTCCTGGAAGCGGTATATGCTTATGTTGGTCATGTTATAGAAAATAGAGACGCACACGTCCCAGGGATTCCGAGCCACGTAAACGTACCTTAAACCAAAAAAAAAAGAAGGAACATGAGAAACTTAATACTTTACCGGTTACCAAGCACTATGTGTGAGCCTGATACTAAAAAAATATATTCTCGCGAGACAAACATTCACTCTGAATGACGTGTGCTACCTGTATAGAAAAGATAGCTTTCAAAAGCACGAAGTGTCAACCAGAAGTTGTAATATTATAGTATGCCGATACCACGATATGGTTACGAGGCATGCCGTTGTGGAGGGTTCGGAAAATTTCGACCATATGGTGTTCTTTATCACACACTGACTTCACACAGTACACGGGCCTTTCTGCGTTCATTGAAATGCGATCGCAGCGGTAAGGATCAAAGCCGCGATGCTCGGGTGAACAGCAAAAAACCGCCAGCACTCCACCACCTACGCGGTCAGTCAGAGATCGGTCATCCTACCTTTACCATGTCACTGCCAGCTTAAACGCTTGGAACACAGTTGGCGCACGCTTTATTTAATATCGCAAAGAATCAGGGATACCGTGGGTCGTGAACTGGTTGAGGACTTTGATATTTTCAGAAATGGGGAACTGTTTTTAAGGGCTTCCAAGCTATTGCTTAATTTTCGCGAATGAGTCTTCGATTGATTGGTGATCGGACGTAATGAATGGTCACTATGACAATACTTGCGCTGAGCCTCTCTTTTTGGTTAATATCCTCAAGTGTAGGACAGCTATGGAGATCGCCAAGGTCGATGGTTTGTGTATTATTTTGTGGCAGACACGTCCTCAGCATCACGTAACATTTGCTATAGAAAGAGCATCGTGAAGTTTGGAGTTCGTATGCGATATCTCTTTACTATTTCCTAGTGCATCATTGGCAATGATACAAGAGCAGTCATCATCGATATCTTCTATCGACCACAAAAGTTTACTTATCGCGCAAGCGCTTGATAAACTGCCGGCCAACGCCAACTATCGTAGACTGTAGCACTAGGCCGGATACGGGTCTTGTTATTCACTGGTATATTAATTTTCTTCTGCTGTGCAGCATGATGCCAGTTCGCAGTTTTCATAGAAAGCGCTCTGTGATTTGAGAGCCAAACTTCTATTATGACAGCACAATCGAAGCCATCGCAGCGTGCTGCAAACTGTGTGCCGTTAAGTAGATGTCACTTTGTGCGAACGACTGCGATTGATAACAGCTATGCCGATTGACCACTCTTGAAATAGTAGCCTCGGCTGCTGAGCAGTGCTGTTCACACCAACCGCATTGCGTTTTGCCATCTCTGCCGCAGAGGGTCGAGCAATCCCCCAATAAATTGTGACCATGTCGCCACCTTGCGGCTCCACGCTATACTGCGTGCGCGTATCGCACACCAGATTGGCTGTGGCCAAGGCCAAAGTGGCGAACTTTTCCGGGCGGAGAAAATTGTTCCTTGCGTGATCTGAGCAATTGGCTGCGGATTTTCTGTGTTTTTCTATAATCTATTTCAGTCTTCCAGATCTGCGCTTGGTTTGAACGCACCTTTCGGGATGGCTGTGTCTTCGGTGTTGCGCTATTGACCGCCGCTGGCAGAAACGTCCCGAAAAGATTCTTGGCCACGCGTTCGCGTAGTCCGTACACTTTTACGGTTTGCTGTACATATACCTCACAAGCAGACTATTTTGGTAAAATGTGTGCGAATCATTATCATCATCATCATCACCACCATCATCATCATCATAAGCCTGACTACGTCCACTGCAGGACAAAGGCCTCTCCCATGTTCCGCCAGTTAACCCGGTCCTGTGCTTGCTGCTGCCAATTTATACCCGCAAACTTCTTAATCTCATCTGCCCACCTAACATTCTGTCTCCCCTAACCCGCTTGCCTTCTCTGGGAATCCAGTCAGTTACCATTTGGTTATCATACCGATAACCAAATACTCCTGTGATGAATGGAATGTATGAGAGAGTATGACTAACTACATTCATGCATTTGTCGACTTTTACCTCATTTACGCCGCAAAAACGGTGAAATTTACGTGTATATAGCTCATTTGGTCATTTTTTGCGAAATTTTCACAGTGAGCTACTTTATGGAAATTAAAAATGACGTACTGCTTTGATTTCGTACCAATATAAGTTGCTCACTCGGAGACATTTATATGTGAGGATGCTTATTTATTTAATTTAGCGCCCCACTTTACCACTTTTGCATCCTTTCTGCCAGAGGTACTGCTATTTTAAATATATAGCTCATCTTACCTTGTGTTCAATGAACATTCATCCGCTTAAATATTTGTTTGTTGCTAGTTGATGAAATTACCGTATGTGCAATACAATTAATAATAAAAATTAAAGTTTACAAAGTGTTTAAATAATGCTTTGAAGTCCAGCAGTCATGGCTCGTTTGTTGTGCCTTGAAATCTGCTCCAAAAAGACCGATAGCCCCTGAAATCTAGCATTCTTTTGCTACTAAGGTACTTAGGATACCTCCGAGGAGAAATCTTCCGGCTCCACAATCTGTGATTTAAAGCAAAATGTCATTTCAATTACTGTTATATGCATAAAACTGAAAGCGAACTTCGCCCATGGGGCAGCAAACACGGAGTCTAGGCGGTAACCGGTGGAATGTTCAAGGTGAACAGCTAGATAGCTAGCGTTGCTGTGGCACATGTTTTAAGAAACCTCTGAACTGATGATGACGGCACAGGAGGAACTGGTCTTGCCAGGAAGGCCACGGTTAAACTGCAGAACCCTTTCGCCCTTGTGGCACGTAAAGTGGAAGCAATTCGTGCTGCAGAACACGAGTGTTTTACTACGAAACCAAGCACGCGAATCTCAGAGGCACTTACTGGCGTTGATCGTTCAAGTTCAACCAGGCTTTCGCTATACTACGGCACATGCCCTCTGTATCTAGCAAACAAGTCACGATACGCCTCTTGATTTTCGAGACTTACGTTCTTGCAACACAGGTTGTCCTGGCCCCTACCGAAACGGCAGTAAAGAAAATACACAAAAATAGGATTTTATGGGATATAATGGGCATGGGTTTGTAATGGGCAGTAACTTCTTGAGTGCGGAGCATTACTTCGTCGCATGATGTGAGGCCTCGGTGTCTCTGCCCATGCGCGGCTTCGGCCCCATTGGACATGCTCGTCTCATCTCGTGCCTCGACTCGTCTCCCTCGAAAGTGGGCGGTGTGTGTATATACATAAGCGGCGTTCAGAAAAGGCGACTTTGCGGGTCTCTCTCTCGTACTTCTCTCAGTCCAATACAATGACGGCATCAAGCAATAAATACAGACTTTACACTTCTTGCCTTCAATTTTCCTTCATTAAATAAATATCGTAAGAACGACGATATCGCAATGAAACATCGCCAAATCATACCCAATTGCGCAACATTCACGCACCCACAACACCATGACGTATTTTGCTCTAGTTACCCCGTGAGAAGATGTGGGTGCCATTTTTTCTCTTTGTGGTTGAGAGCGCAAAACCGAAGTCTGCTCACCGGAGATACGTGTCCAGAATGGTTCCACGTGATATCTTCTAGCAATGCGAATTTTAATGTACCAGCCATATGGTCACGTAGTCATCGTACGCAAATAATTTGTCAGGGATGTTAAAGAATCGTCATGCCAAGGGTAAAGATACAAGATTGAACAGCATCGCCAATACAGGGCTCTGCGGCACATCCTACACTGCAAAGAAGTGTGCCATGTGCCCCTCAAGCAAGTGAATCGGAAATAAACTATTGACTATTCTGTGAGAGAAATGCCGCTACGCTGTGGATCGTGGTTCTAACACAGAGAAACGCAAGAAAACAGTAAGCGCTCTCGGATGTACATTCAGCGTCGAACGAAAACCAAATGGCAGCAGGCAATGGCAGTAGTGTATAGTGCTCGCCCTCTAGTTGTCAACATGAAGAAGAGCGCATATATCCGTATAGTTTTGCCGAAGCGGATGCGTGCGTCTGTCCATGGCAATAACTGGATGGGGTGCACTACAGCACTGCGAATGCCTGACACTGTTCGGTTTTCTTATGACGTTGATAGTACGATAAACATGCCTAAATGATCACATTAAACCTGGATACATCTCTGTCACTCAGTATATGCTCTGGCGGCTGCACTTTTCCTCCCTCCAGTCATTCATTTGGAGTATGCTTCATTTGAAGGATGCTGTGCCTTCTTTCTAACTATATCATCCTTCGTAGTCCTCCAAGATCAATCAATCGATCAATCAATCAATAGATCGATCAGTCAGTCAATCAATCAGTGAATCAACCATTCAACGTGTCTATACCGTAAACATACTTAGCATCATCGTTCATGGTTTCCCGGTGGAGAGACTGATGCGTCAGCAGCGTTCGCACTGGCAGCGTTGGCGTCCACTCGCGGTCCGCCATGTACTCGATGATGCGGGTGTTGCTGGTGAACTCTTCGTACGTATCGATCGGATCGCCATTCCTGAGGATCAGCTGCGTGATGTACTGAACCCAGTGCGTGCCACTCTTCGGGTACGAGCTCTGCACGAGATCTCCTCTGGAGGCTCGGAACGAGGCGCTTCTCCGAAACACCTCCGGGTCCACCCAGGGGCTGCGCGCTACGCCGTCGATAATTTGCGTGTAGGGCCTCCGAGCTGTAGCCATTGCAGCAAGCCTGAGAGAAACAGTTGCATTGTTTGTGCATGACCGCTGAAGCTTAAAAACAGCGTTAGTTTAACGAGTATTATTCTTTATAAGAACTTCTGGAACACGAAATACAGAAAATTAACATTCAAATTTATCCCTGTGGTGTAAGTGGCTGTTACCCGTACTCTACCTATAAAAAGATGCAGAATACTAAAAAAAAAGAAAGTAAACGGAAGTTTGCACTCGAGCTACGGCATAGTTACTACCCATTTTACGCCCTCCGCTGTAAGTAGTGGAAATGTTGGATTATATACGTGGAATCGGTTATTTGTTAGCGTAGTGTGCTAGAGCTCTCGCGCAAGTTTTGCGTTACGTTAACGGCAATAGAAAAAAACTCATTCGTTTTCTTTCTCAACTTTATCCTCACATTCAATGTTTTCATCCTGCAGCGTCGCTTCCTGCGCACGACTAGCTTCCTCTTGCTTGCGTATACGCACACGCTACTGAAACACTGAGCGTTTGTTATCTGCGGAGTGGAGCAACTCTGTTGAGCCCAATCTTCCCGCGAAAGTCATTTTTGCTGGTCAGTTGTACTGTTACAGAACCTCCACAAGAAAATGGCACAGAGTGTAAAAGTGTGGTCTATGACAAGGCACTTAGTGAGGCTGGAGGGTTACTCCACGCTGTCCTTTACACGGTACACTCCACAGGAAAGAAATCAAAGAACAGGACCCACTCCTTCGAGTCGGCGTATGAACGGTTGCTAATGAGACCGTACGTCTTCATTTTTTAATTTTTGTGAATATGGAGGCGAAATGCAAGATGTCCGCATACTGTTTGATATCAGTGCATGTTAAAGAGTACCAGCAGGTCGAAATATCCAGAGCCCCTCAATCACGACGTCCCTCGTAATCGTGTTGTGGTCTTGGGAAGTAAAATCTTGCGGCGGACAACTCTGAAGCCCACATGCTTGCAGTCTTGTTCCTTTTATAATTGCGCTGTTGACGAAGTCATACTCGTTTTGCGAGTTAGTATAATGTACGAGTTGTTTTCTGCGCCGAACATCCAGCTGTTTCAATTCAGCGATCCCAAACAACACCGTAGTACGTTATGGGAGGAAATTGTGATGTTTTTGTTTACTGCTTCAGCCGCAGTAAATCAGTGGATGCAGTGCGTTAACTTCTGACCCAAAGTTCGCGTATTTCTTCCCAACTGCGGTGCTCTTAATATTTATAATTGCTGTGGTTTAACGTCACAAAACGGTGAGATGATTTTAAGACACACCGTAGTGGGGGGGGGGGGGGGGCTCCAGAAGTTTTGACCATATGGGGTGTTTTAACGAGTATGTAAATCAAAGCAAACGAACGTCAAGCATGTTCACCTACGTCGAATCTACGGCTGCCGCGACTCGGATTCGATTCCACGACCCGCAGCTCAGCAGTCGAGCATGATAACTACAAGACCACCGTGAAGGTTGCTGCGGCGGTCCCATTTCGGTGGATGTGAATGATAGAAGCCCATATGTGCTCTGCATTGTCAGTGCACGTTGAATAACAGCAGATAGCTGAAATTTCCGGAGCCATCCACTGCGATGTCCCTCATGATCACATCGCGCTTTTGGGACGGAAAACCTTAGACATCATTAATTATTTACGCCAGCAGGTTTTCTTTAGTTCCCACAACAGTCGGGTAAAACTACAGAAGTTTGCGGTATTAGCTAATCATGTACTCATGCACAACTACTCAGAAAAGATGTTCGCGCCAGCCTGAAGCCGAACTTGCCTCTTTTATGTAAGCAGCTACTACTGTCCCGGGTGGCGTTACGGGTGTAGTCTGAATGGTACGACCAGTTTCATGAACAGACGCATTTTTCGGTGTTTGGTGTCGACAGTGCTTATCTCGTTATCTTATCTTAGCTTATACCTTCTGAATTGCGCATGTGTTGTAGAAACGAATCACTTGGAAATTCGGCACCCAACATGTTTGCATGTTCTTGAAAAGCTTGTGCCACGAATTTTCGAGGATACAGCAAATGCTGGCGTATGCTCGTATGGATTATAGTACAAAGGGCGCAGTTAAAAACAACAAATAAAAAAGAAGTTAATCAGACTTCATACGGTGTTTTTTGATGTGCTGCGTTCTTCTGTTATTACCACGTAGCATGCACACTAATACCTACTGCATGACAGTCTGTCAAGTAGGTCCCTGAGTGATTCAAGGAAGCGTAAATATCTAAATTTGCTCATGTGCTGTTGACAGCTCATTTGTGACAAGTGCTTTTTTCAATAAACTCGATGCTCACACTCAGAGCACAAAGCCACGTGACTTAAAGTTACTGAATAGCTTCGCAACTTAAAAAAGGGAATCGAAAGAAGCTAGAAAATACGACGTAATTAATTTTTGTGAATTATGAGATGAGCAAATCACAGGTCGTCTACGCTGTTCAGAACTTTTCTTTCTGTTCTGTGTTTTGTTTTTAACAATGTGACAGTGAATAATAACTGAGAGCACTGAATAGCCTACGAACAGAATAGCCGGGACTCATAATACTTGATAACAATATGGTTATTAATAATATTATACTGATAATAAACTTAAAACTCCTAAACCGCTGCAATCCTTGTACTTAGCATAACTCGTAATGTAAAAGAGCTACTATTTGGTATTGTCTTAATCCGCTTGAATAAATAATGACAGGTAACCTAACTAAATTGGATTCCTACAATGTCCGCCTAGCAAACAATGTTGAAACGCCCAGCTTTATTGAAGAAGTTTTATCACTTTTCTTGCTATATGCCGCGGAATTTGCGTAGAGACTAAAAGTATCAATAAAATTCGCGAAGTTGCACCTAGTGAAATTGATGCGCTATGCCGTCAAACACTTTATAATTGTGAAATATGTTGTAAGACACTAGTACGAGGCATAAAAATGAAAAAAAAAGCATTATCAGAACCTTTCATTTAGTATGTATATGCCATAACAACGTCGAATCTTGAAATACTTGATTGATTTGTGGGGTTTAACGTCCAGAAAACACGATATGATTATCAGAGACGCCGTATTTAAGGGCTCCGGAAATTTCAAGCACCTGGGGTTCTTTAACGTGCACCGAAATCTGGGCACACGGGCCATCAGTTCCGCCTTCATCGGAAATGCAGCCCCCGCAGCCGGGATTTGATCTTGCAACCTGCGGGTCAGCAGCCGAGTACCTTAGCCACTAGACCACCGCGGCGGGGCAATACCGAACTAATTCACCTTTGCTAATTTCTGCTTCATTGGCTGTGTATGGAACAGTATACAATGTTCATGCATTGTTAGTACCGATGGAAGAGTGTGCACTTTTTGTCCTAAGAAGCTTTTGCTCTCTAGTTGGGGCATTGTGGCGCCGCGGGTTGTAACGACGCCAGAGTACGAGCCATATATACGCAGTCAGAAAATCGTTGCAGTATAGAAGATATATGTCGTTGTTCAACAGCGTCAAAATATACGATGATGTCACAGTGCTTTTTTTTGTTTTAGGTCCACTTTGTGGCCGAAAGAAAATAAAGGCGGCTTTGTTCACAGCTCGTTATGGCGTTGCCGTGCACAGAAACACAACTCATTGCCACTTTCGGCCTCGACCTGCTAAGCTTGAGGACAACGCAGGCTTTGGCACCCGCGTTGATACTTTTGATACTTTTGAACTTTTGATAACCGGCCGCATTTCGATATTATGCACAACAGTGCAAAAACACCAGCTTACTTAAATATAGGCACACGTTCTGGGGCTTCCATGGTGCCGAAATTGATCCACAGTTGATATCAATTCTATCATGGCTTTGGCTGGTAAATTATCACTAATTGTCATGATCACATTCGCCTTGCATGACACTTGTGCACAAGCAATGCTCAGCTGGCTCCGCTGTTTCTATCTGCTGTTTGTATGGCAGTTGAATCTTCAATTCACTACGCTAAAAAAAATGAGGGATTATCCTCTGACTGCATCTATGTGGAATACACTATGGTCGCTGTGTAAACGATCGCTTGTGTTCGAATTCTGACAACATTAGAGAAAAGACGGGAAGTATTTTCACAATACAATGTGCCGATTGTGGCTGCATCACAAACTTCCAGCAGGCGCAGCCGTGCCCGCAAAATGTATGAAGCCTTTCCCATGCATGTTGCAGGTCAGTCATTTATCAGCTTTTAATCTATCACAGTAGCTGACAAACAGACCAACTATCTTCACAGTGAAGCGTTCCACGCTGTATACGACAAATCGGGGCTTGTACGCATGTCTTAGAAAAATCTTCCTCGGCTCCGTTTTAGAGCCTTGGATGGCTAATGAAACAACGAAAAAGTTTACGTTGGCAGTGCCAGCACGAATGGTTCAAAAGTTCATCATAACATGATGACGTCTTCACATAATATTATGTCTTGGTAAAAAGTGGGCGATAACAGAGGCAGTGCAAAATTACGGGAAGCGCAGAAAGTTTTTGGAGGGGGTGGGGCTGAAGGAAAGAAAAGAATATTAAGATAGATGGAGTTTGTCGAGTCAACTTGATTGATATATGCGGTTTAACGTCCCAAAACTAACATACGATTATGAGAGGCGCCGTAGTGGAGGACTCCGGAAATTTCGACCACCTAGGGTTCTTTCACGTGCACCCATATCTGAGCACACGGGCCTACAACATTTGCGCCTCCATCGGAAATGCAGCCGCCGCTGCCTGGATTCGAAACCGCGACCTGCGGGTCAGCAGCTGAGTACCTTATCCACTAGACCACCACGGCGGGGCATTGTCGAGTCAACTTGGAGAACCATAACGGACCCTGTGGGTTTACTTCATTAACGAAGCCCGAAGGATAACTCGTTAAAATGTGGCTTCAATCAATTTGAAATGCTTAAATATTTACGAACTGCTTTCCCATTCTCATGCTAAAAATAAATTAGTTACCAAAAACAGAACAGGAATATGCATTAAACGCTGGGCTGTGCTGGAATGTGAATTATCTTTGACCTGCTGTGGTTAATAATACTTGTTTAGGTTTAACGTCCGCCAATTATGATATGAGAGATGCCGTCATGGCAGTCCCCAAAAATTTCAACCACCTGGGGTTCTTTAACAGGCACCTAAGTTTAAGCACACGGGCCTCATGCATTTTCGCCTTCGTAAAAATGCGGCCGCCACGACTGGGATTCAATCCCGCGACCTGCGGGTCAGCATTCGAGTGCCTTAGCCACTAGGCCACCATGGTGGGTGGCTAGATATGGTTCCTAATGGGTTCCCAAATAGCCTCATTGGTACTTTTTAAATTTATTGATCTCGAAGTGCGGCCGGCGTGGCGGGGTAGCGAATATGCGTCCTTTACAAAGAAGAACAACATGACGTATCTGCGGCGGCTGTGTTCATTAAGACGAAAAGTTCGCGCCGTCTGACATGATCTTGCAGAGATAGTAAACAGTCGATAAATCGGAGCCATTAAATAACGGCACAAACACACCTGATAATAGTGTCGGTGGGCTCTCGCCGAAACCAGCGATGTGACTCAAACTCTTAATGTGGGCTTGCACAGACCTACATTAAGCCGTCTCCACCACCTCCGTGCCACAGGCCTCGTGCTTGGCAGCAAGCCTGATGTAGACTGCTGAATTCACGGACAGTTCTGTAATTCATGGTTACAGTTCATATGAAGCAAAGTGGCGCGTGCATATTTTGACACCCTGCTAAGCCCTGCTAAGACAGCCTTTCGAAAAAAAAATAAAGCAGGAAAGTGCCGGAGCCATGATATGATTATGAGGCGAGCAGTAGGCAAAGGCTTCGCTATCTTGAGCCATCAATCGTTGAGAAGTGTGCAGGGTCAGGCACTGGCATGGGGCAGTGCATGGGCCTAGATAATTTTGTTTTCCTCGGAATGCGACCACCGAGGTCCAGATCCAGACCTCGACTTCGGATCAGCATCTGAGCACCGCAACTACTGTACTATCAAGGTGGGGCCCCCAAAACAAACTATAGTTTCATGAAGTTCTTCAGACCTTTGATTTCGGGTGGTTACACGACCAGCTTGGCTTTTTGCGGACACGGGCGTGAACGCATTCGTCATCGCTCATGCGGATTAAATCTGCTGAGGCAGGCGTCACGCCAACGGAACTTCACAACTCCTGGGCCCACGCGAACAAAGTGACCGCAGCAAAGCGAAAGAAAGGTACGATGCGGAAAGGAAAAATAACGAAGAACGTAAAATGTCTTTGAATTGCACAACTGAACGCTCACCTGTTCAGCTTTCGTGGTGTATCTTTGTTAAGGGTTGTGTCGACTGGGATACCACTTGATGCTCTAACTACACCTTACATACGCGTGGTATTTCGAAGGTTTCTGTGCCTAGAAAGAAGCACCACAGGTGATTCCAGCCCGCTGGTGTACAAGGCAGTTAGGCCGCTAAATAATTACGAGCGCTCGTAGCCCGTGGCTCCTGACAACACAAGATACACATTATCTTCTCTTACAACCTCCCTCTGTCAGCTATTTCTATCAGTAAGTGTAGCCTAACTCCGCCTTCCGAGCTTGCAAGAGTACAGGCGCAGCAACTTCTGTTATCGTAGATGACATGCGTGAATGAGTTACAAGTTCTCAGCAGGCAACTCATGAAAGCAAACATATGTGAACTAGCCGTGTCGCCTTATGAATGAACTGCGTACTCTGATAACAGAAAACAGACAAATATGGCACGCGTCCGAATGTAGTTATGCCATAATCTGTTGACGTTACAAGTACTATATCAGCGTCTTATCTCAGGCACAGATAAGTCTCACGGACACTTTTGTTACGCTTCGCCGTTTGCAGGACCGCCGAAGGTACGACGAGGTAGTTTTCCATGATGCAGAACTTGGTCTACATTCTTCGATGCTGTATCACTGTGTCACTCATTACAATTTCGTATAAGACATTGCAGTCAGTTAATAGAAGAGTTTATTGCAATATTTATAAACACCTAGGCGCAGGCGCCGCGTTTACATATAGATGTGTAATATCGGCGTCAAATGAAACCCGAACAGCGGCAAGGCTTCGCGATGCACACTATCCAGCTGTCACCATTGACAGGCGCGCGCATCGTAATCGGAAGTTACGCGCATATATGCGCGTCTGTTCATGGTGATAAGCGCACGGCGCACACTACACCATAGCAAAGGTTTCCCGCTATTCGGTTTTCATTTGATGTCTATAGTAAATCTGTTCAAACACCCTATTTAACGGCAGTGGCCGCGCATGGCCTTGCTCGTCATTCAGTATCATCGTCATGTGACAGCAGCCGTTTATAGTTACTAGCAAATATTACTCGCGATGAACCAGGGCACCAATGCTATGGGCTTTGCGATGGCCATAGCTACAATGTTATTTTTGTGTGCGTGGCACAATGGCGATTTGATTACGAAGAACATGACGGTGTGTGTCCTTATCAATCATAAAATCAATCATTAAATTGAGGCTGCCTTTAGATTTATGACAACAGTTCGTTTCAAGTATTTTCAACTGTGACACTATTACCGAGAGCTGAATCGCCACAGACACACTATTAAACATCTGTTTCGAGGTGTTGAACACAGAGTGCTAGACATTTCCTGCGGCGACGAGGCTTGATCTGTATAAGTCCTCGAGCAAGATGGTTGGCTCCTTTATTTCTGCTGTTCGATTGTGTGGGAGCGGATATAAAGAAGAAAAAAAAACTTTGTCATCTTTATTATTACAAAATTTCATGATTTTGAGTGTCTTTAGGGAGATTCGACCATAGGCGAAATTTCGTATCACCGTTGACGAATGATAAGGCAATATGTCCGGTCGCGTTTTGGCTGTGACTAATGCAAAATACATTTTCTCTACGGACTTTACGTGTGCTGTAATGACGGCAGCCACATTTTTCGTGATATCTCACCGCGGCTGTGTAGGCGTGCAGGTGTCTGTATCTATGTACGTCTGCAAATACGGCGTCCATGATGTTACCAAGAGAGAGAGAAAGAAATAAGAGGAAGAGACACGGAGTTTAACCTAGAAGAACTGGTTTGCTACCCCACACAGGGGCGGGGAAATAAGGGTCGGAAAGAGGATCGAGAGATATAGAATAAACCAGGTAAAAATACACGTGTACTCACATGCAGGGCGTTCCAAAGTCGGCTGAACGCAGGAGCACCTTCACAGCCTTATTCTGCGACATGAAGTCCTGTCGGTAGCGCAGGATTCTTTCTTCCGAAAGAGTCTGGTTGTCCAGTTCGTCTATTGCATTACAGAGTGACTGTCTCTGCGAGCATTGGCACAGAATATGCCAAATTTCTTTTTGTACTACATCATGGGTTCTGCTTTCTGCCTGTATGTCTGCCCTGATGGTGGGTTATATGCATTGTTTTGAGCACAGAACAGATGGTTTTCATGGCTGTTATGCATCTGGGCGTATCAACTCTGATCCCATTACATACAACGTGGTACACATTACATAGTTGATGCGATATTTGCTTGACTGTTTTGGTTGCGGTAACGTGCATAGCTCAAAGCGGTGTGGCTTAATTAGATCATTCGAACGCGTAGGAATTTGTGACTGTGCAACACTTAGAAACACGCTGTCATAGTCTGTCCTAGGCCACCGTCGTCGCTTGGCGCAACGCAGGCGAAAGTGCGAATAGCAAATTGAGCACGCGAGGACACTGAGAGAAGCCCTTTTCATTTGATTTATTTTGTTGGGTGGTACGGTCCGGAAACCAATATTTAATTATGAGAGATGCCGTAGTAGAGGCCTTAGAAAAATTGATCATCGCGTGTTTTTCACGTTCACTGACATCGCGCAACACACGGGCCTCTATCATTTCGTTTCCGTCGAAATGCGACCGCCACGACAAGGATTGAGCCCGCCACCTTCAGGTCAGATGCGGAGCACCCTAACCACTCATGGACCGAGGCGGACGAAGAGAAGTCTTTTTCCTACAGTTCTTTGAACACCTTGACGAAGATATTATTACGGAGCATTGTTTACGAGCCCGCCATGGAAGACGAATAGACGAATTCAAGAAGCTAAAATTCGCTTGCGAATCCTCAAGTTGAGGGAGTTCAACTTGGAGAATGTCACTTGGGCAGTCAATGAGGGCTCCGTGAGTAGACAAAAGGTCCGATCTGAGAATGGCATCATTTTGGCACTTGTCAATTACGGCAACCAAAAACAGATATATCGTGATCGGCGATGATGAAGCACGCTGTGCACATTCCTATGATGGCAGGACTTCTTCCGTCAGTGACACGAACAATTCCAGGAGCTTTCAGAGTGAGCAATGTCTTGAGGTGGCGACGAATTCAAGCATTCACCACTTAAAAAAACGTCAGGCCTGCATGCGCGGAAAACGCCGCACAATCACAGCGAACGTTACAGGAGCGGCCTTTCAGAGCCTTTTCTAAACACTCATCGGGTAACTGCCACAAGCACACTTGCTGGGTACCCACTACGACATTAATAATAATAATTTTAGGGTAGTAGGCTGGCACTCGCTAAGCTATCTGTTGTCATTCTTCTGAGAAGCGTGGTATCCGCTAAACACTTGCAAGGAATTGTGTGCATTGTTCATGCAGTGGCTGGCGACGATGAGGAATTATGCCTGAAGTGGGTGTGCGCCAAAGTCGATAGGTTATGAAGACCAAGTTTTTCAAAAGGTTGGTGCGTTGGACAACCCACTCATTACGCTATTCGCATTGTGTGACGACGGCCAGTTTAAAAACACTTTTATACTAATAACAAGCCTGCCTAAGGCAAGTTCTCGGACAATTACCAAGCACCGGCATGGCTCAGTGGTGGAATACTGGCCCCACTGTGCCATTGCAACGTTTTTCTTTTTTCAATTTTGTGCCATTGTCGTTACGGACACCAGCGGCGGCGGACAACTACGGCACCGCGCGTGACCAGAGTTTTGATCTCTAAAAGCTTTCGAGGCAAAATTTACCGCAGTGTCAAGAAGCGCAGAAACAGTGAGGCCGTCAGTGTCTACATTCGATAAAATTTCGTCCTGTTGGCATGAATTTTAGGTTCTTCTTCGTCTATTAGTCTGCGACGGCGGGTGAAGTGACAGTGTGAAGACTTTACTACTGTGGCTAGAGCAACACGGTAACACAAACCACGTAAAATAAAATTGAAAATGGAGATCCAAGCGAGAATTATAAAGAGACAAAAAGAACGCCGAAAATGGAGAGACAAGTAGAAATAAGGAGATAAAACAAGAAAAACCCCAACCAAACTGAAAAATAAGAACAAGAAAAGAGAGGATGAAGAAAAGAGAGGATGAGAAAATCTAGGGAAACGAAACAAGCTGCGCATGCTATGGGTGGCGCTACAGGTTGAAACTCCCAAAGCTTCCTTGAAATGAGAGGCAGGAAGAATGCAAGAGAGGAGGAGTGAAAGGAGGGAAAAGGGCACCACTACATCACAAAAAACGGTTTTCTTTGTCGCCAAGGCTGAACGTTCGAAACGCCAGTGCACGTTTGCGCCCCTGAAGGTACGCTCATCCTTTTGCGGCCCTGCAGAAGCTGCGTTCGTCTCGTGTATTTCTACTCTGCTGGTGTGTCATCCCGAGCGCAGGTTGAGCTCTCGTATTGAATGGGAAGCATTTCTTAGCTAACGTCGGCAACTTTGGGCGTATCTATCTATCTATCTATCTATCTATCTATCTATCTATCTATCTATCTATCTATCTATCTATCTATCTATCTATCTATCTATCTATCTATCTATCTATCTATCTATCTATCTATCTATCTATCTATCTATCTATCTATCTATCTATCTATCTATCTATCTATCTATCTATCTATCTATCTATCTATCTATCTATCTATCTATCTATCTATCTATCTATCTTGCCGCTTGCGTTAGGGTGCTTTAGTGGTCACCCCCTTCAGTTGGTGTAAACCAAAGTTAGCATGGGAGGGTCAAATGGACGAATATGACGCGCTGGTCAAGACATGGAAAAGGTCACAATACTGTCGAGTACGTCGTCAAACACTTCCCGCCAGAAAGTGGCACATACCCACGATCGAGTATGTGCCGTTCGTATGCAGGTATATGCCACAGGTGATTGACACATGGTATCTACCCAAGATCAACGAGAACACACTTGGGAAATTTTAACGTGCGAGCGTCAAGAAATACCCGACATTGGTTACGCCGACCCGACGAATGCAAAGAATAAATGTTGGGGTCCCAGCCGGAATCGAACCCAAGCATTCTGCGTGGCAATGAATCATTCTACCACAGAGCTACGCCAGGTAGTGGAATCACTTTTCAAATAGGCGCTCATTTTCGTGAAATGTCAGTTGCGGTTCCAGTACTGCGTACCCAATTTTATAAACATTACATGTGTACTCCTTTCATACAACTGTTACGTCGGGTTACCGTCAATTTAGGTTAGTTGCCATGCGCTGAAGTTGATTTATGAAGCAGTGT